ATCGCAACCCTCGGTGTTGCTCCCGCACCTCACTCAGCCAGTGAGCGGCTGGTCTGTATGTGGGATCCAAACCCTCGGTGGGAGCGCCGCCGCGCTTCCCAAGCAGCGCACTGTAGCAGTGCGCCACCGGGACGGCCCAGTAGTGGTGCCTTCTATATAGTAAATTATGTTAAGAATGAAGAACACTTAATGTTAGGAAGTTTGGATCGACTAGAATAAGTATAAAACACTTTCTACATTAATCTGTTTGTAAAAAGACCTGTATTTCTATAGGGGAGGGGAGAACAAATTAAAAAGCGTGTAAGCTTCTGAAGGGTAAGCCCTTCTAATTTAAATTTTGGTCAGACTGTTATGAGTGAGAAGATGGTTATCTCTATAAATTCTATATACCATAGAAAATAATGATGCATGCCAAATAAGGTACAGGCTATTTCTGAACATTTATTATGTTGTTTACTATTGTATGCTGTTGAACAGGAGGAGAATCACAATCCAGGTGAGCAGAACAACTGCATTGAGAATAGTAACATCTGCTGGCTTCCTAAATAGTTTAGTAGAGGGGTGGCTCATGTCTGAGCAGAAGCCTTGGGCAAATCTAAGGTATCAGAAGCCAGCTATACATCAGAAAACAAGAGAACATTTTATTTTGTATTGGATGGGAAGAACATGGGTTTATTTATTTATCTTTTCAACTAAAACCCTTGGAATAGTAATACTTCATTCAATATGAGGTTGAAATACATTAAACGTTCCGAATACTAATATGACTTTTAATAAACATATCTTTTGTCTCTTACCATTCCTTAGACTGATTTCTTTAATGTGGGCTGATAGGCTGGTAAGAATAGAAAGTTAACATATACTGTTGTTTCTAACTAAAATATGTGTGTGCGTGTTTGGAAATAAGATTTAGCATTGAAAAGTTCTCTGTTTTTGAAGAACTGAATGATGACGGTAAGAGCTCTTTTGCCTTCAAGGAGCTTATTATTTGCAGTGGAAGAGTCAGGGAGTAGATATTGAAACTGAAATGCATTAAATGTAGTAAGTGCTAGAATAGAGATATATATAAAATATGGCATTTTTAGTCATTTGTGTATCTAGCTTCCTATCTACTAGTTATGTGGCCTTGAACAAGTTAACTAATCTCTCTAAGGCTAAGGACCTTTACGGACACAGAAGAGCAACCCATAAATAATTAAAATTGAAAAGGAGCATTCAGGAAGCAGGAGGAAAACTAGATGATAGTAGTTTTTTTTCCTTTTCATAATTTTTTAAAAAGAAGAACCAGGGGAGGAGAATGCTTGAACAAGGAGTGATAACAGATGATACTGACAGGTCAAGTAATGTAAGGACTGAAAACAGTCTTTTGGAGACCCAAGAAATTATTTCTGGTGAAAGCAGTTTCAAAGGAATGGTGTGGAGGCAGAAGCCAGGGTTTAGTAAGTTAAGGAGTGAATGGAAAGTGAGAAATTGTAGATCATGAGGTAGACATTTTTCAAGAAGTTTGGTTTTAACAGGGAAGGGATGAGAGGATGTTTTAGGATAAAGCATTAATGGTGTCAAGGGAGAGGTTTTTTTCAAGATGGAAAGACATGAGCAATTGCCTGATGAAAAGAAAGAATTAGGGAGAGGTTGAAGATATAGGAGATAATAGATGGAACATGGTCCTTAGATGATAGTGAGGTGACAGGATTAAGAATATACCCGGAGGGATTGGTTTTAGAGAAAAGGAAGAAAAAAATCTCTTCACTGAAAGTGGAGGAAGATATAATAGAAGTGGATGCAGGCAATGAGAAGCTGAGTGACTTTTTCCCCTGCTTTTCTGTAAAGCAGGCATTGAGATGTTCTAAAGTGGTCCTCTAAGAAGTTGTAGGGAAAGTAGTAGGAAGTATAGGGGAAGCCTTGAGTGGTGAAGATTTGAAATAACTAACGTAGACAATGGGTGAAATATACTTGGTATATGCTAAGAATTTGTGGGATCTTAAACATGAAAAC